GCGACATAAACGATATAGAATAGGTGTTTGTACTACTGTTTCAGGATCAAAAGGAAGGGGAATGATAAAATATTTCCGATTTTTGACAGTTTTACTACCGAATATATTAATCTTTGATAAGTTAAAATCTATATTGTTTTCATCGAAGACGTCGTCTAATATTTTGTGATGTATTTCTTCCATTTTATTTTGTCTAAGAAAGGTGATAATGTTCTTATGCGATTTGTCTAATATTTGATCATTAGATATTTCAATTTTAGAATAATCAATGAGTGATTTAGTTTTATACAGTTCGACAAATCTATTAAAATGTTCAGTGATTTCTTCTTCATTGATTTCATTTGGTTCTTCGTCAGATTCCGTATCGTTCGAAGCTAATATTGATATTTTCTTATGAAAATTCGCACATTCTTTAAAATGATTGATTTTAATTCGAGAAAGGGCGTCCGCATTTTTGTTGGTTTTTCCCGGTTTATGAATAATTTTATAATTGTATTCCTCAAGCTTGAGACGCCATCTAGCTAGTCTGCTTCCAGGGTCTTTTATAGAAAATAACCAGGTGAGTGGACGGTGATCAGTTACTAGGGTGAATTTTCTACCGAACAGATAGGGTCGGAAATGTTTTACAGCCCATACGATGGCAAGGAGCTCTCGCTCAATGGTCGAATATCGTGTTTCAGCATTACACAGGGTACGTGAAGCATATGCTATAGGAAGATCTTTTCCAATGGGGCCTTGGGATAATATAGCGCCGATGGCGAATGCACTTGCATCTGTTGTGAGGACGAATGGTTCCTCAAAGTTTGGATACATCAGAATTGGGTCAGAAATTAAAGCGTTTTTCAAATCTTCAAAAGCTTGCTTGCAATCTGGGTCAAAATTAAAAGCAACGTCTTTTTTGAGTAGTCTAGTGAGAGGTTTAGAAAGTTTAGCAAAATTGGGAATAAAACGACGATAGTAACCGGCTAGACCTAGGAAAGATTTTATTTCTTTTGGTGTTTTCGGTTCAGGAAATCGTTGGATACAATCGACTTTAGAAGGGTTAGGCTTGACGCCATCTTGGGTAATGAGGTGTCCGAGATATGCCACCTCTTTCCTGAGAAATTCACATTTATCAGGCTGGATTTTAAGATTTGCCTTTCGAAGACGTTTGAAGACTTCAGTAAGACGGGAAATGTGTTCGTGAATGGTAGGGGAGTATACTATAATGTCGTCCATATAGACAAGACATCGTTCGTTCAAAATACCTAAAAGAATATTGTCCATGACACGCTGGAATGTGGACGGTGCATTTTTAAGTCCAAAAGGCATACGAGTAAATTCATAATGTCCGTTTTCGACAGAGAAGGCTGTTTTAGGAATATCTTTGGGATCGATTTCAATCTGATGAAATCCGGAGGCAAGGTCGAGAGTTGTAAAATATTGGCATTTTCCAAGCTGGTCTAAGAGATCGGAGATATTAGGAAGAGGGTATTTATCGTCAATGGTACATTCATTGAGTTTGCGGTAGTCTATTACTACTCGCCATTTTTGTTCTCCAGAA